AACCTTGTTTGAAGGAGGGGGATTACTGAAGTAGAAATCGCGGTAAATGTCTTAAGCAAAAACTGCAGGCAGACATTAATTCACCCTAACTTTATTATGTTAGTAATAGCTTCAGATATTTGGAGATATGAAACAAAAAACAGTTGGGACCTGTTCTAACTTCCTTTGGGTTCGTTCCAGATGCTTTAATTTTGCAGGTGAAGGATTTCTGCCCTATACTTACTGATATATAAATACATTGTTTTACATTACTTCTATAAGAAACTATTTTACTTGACATTTATCCTTTATTTGACTTGGTCCTTTTTTCCAGACTTAATCTGAAGGGAAATATTTAGCTGTATCTATACTATAATATTAGTTTTGTGTGTCTATATGTATTAAAATTGAGCGTATTTTAAAGAAGTTGATAACCCCTTTTTTTCACTTTTTTTCACAGGTCACAGCCAAGTATGTCATCATCTTTATTACTGTGCAGTACAATGTTACCTATGCTACTGGTAAGACTAAAGCAAATTCATCGTTATTTATATACTGTATAAGAATCATCTATAGAAAGTACAATTATAAGTAAAATAGTCCAATTTCCATTAACTAATTTCACCTGCATATTAGAATAAGTTTCTGAGATTCTCAGTGTTCTCACCATTATAATATCTGGGCTGCCAGATCTTCAGTAGTGACTTACATTTATTGCTTCAGTTTTTCCCCCATAATGAGTACCTTTCCTGGGCCACACCTTAACTTGAAGAAAGGTGTCCCTTCTCCTTTTTTTAACAACTTTCTGGTTTTCATATCAAGTAGCAGGATATCTTAGAACCCTGCAGTTGGTTAATCATGTTGTCTTATATTTTCACTAGTGGTTTTTATGTATCTTTATGTTTAGATATCAAGTCTTCATGAAAGATAGTTAAAATAGGTAGATTCCATATATGGTTTAACATACTAGAGATCTGGATCATATATTTCCCATTTTGTTTCCCAACAGATAGCTGTTAAATTAACAATTTCAATTTGTAATTTTAAACTTAGTTTAAAATTAGTTTAATGTACTATATCTGTTCTTGAGTTTTTTCCCTACCCATATTGTTATCCCTTAATTGCATTGTGTATACTGAGAGAGTGAGTGTAGGTATCTGTCTGTCTGTCTGTCTCTCTCTGTCTTTTTGTTTAATCTGAAAGACCCATACAAACAGGAATCAAAACCATAACTTGAAATGGAAATGTAAAGAAAAAATCGTCCCACACTCTGACCTTTGCAGTTTTGTCTCTAAAGTATTAAATGTAAAAGTAATAAGGAACTAAATTTTAGAGAGGTGTATGAGACTTATTCATTTACTGGTATTTGTGTACTAAATCAATATATTCAACAATGCAGTGTCTCTGATACAGTCCTTTGTACATCATATCCTACAACTACATAAAAATATTGAAAATGTTAGTACTCAAAATTAAACACTCTGAAAGTTAGAAAATGTTAGACTTAATTTGGCACCAATGTACATTGGTAGACAGCATCTAATTATATAATTTGGTGCTGCTTTATTTCTTGAGGACTGCTGCTACTTCATTCAGTAAATGATAGACCATTTATTATTCCTTTTGATCTTCATGTAGTGTGCAGCACTCAGCTTCCTTTAACCCAAAATAACCAAGCCCAGGTGAAAGCAAAATTATTTATATTCTTATGAACATTTCTCTGCACTTCATAAATATTAATTAATTCATTTTCATGGCATTCTGTAAGAAAAGTTGATAATACGTTACAGGTGAGCAACTGAAGCACCAGGAAATTAGGGCAAAAACTGTCAAGAGTCTGCTCATTTTAGGTGCTCGTCTTGAGACAACTAGGGTCTGATTTTTTTTTTTTCTTTATTTTTTTAATTGCTTTCTCCATCTAGAGTTATTGGTTGTCTCTGTATAATATAACCTCAGCACTTTCCTACAATGTTTTCATGTTTTTTTGTTTTTGTTTGGAACACTTCATAATTTTTTAACATGTGCTTGTGGTGTGTGGTGATATTTTCTGTTTCCTCTTCAGAACCTTACATATAATTTATAGGAACAACTTAATAGTTCTGAAAGTGTCAATAATAGCCTATAAATATGTAGGACTGTTTTTAAGAGGAAGAGTAAATTATGCAGCTGAACTATAAGATTCATCCATTTAAGGTACTGTCCTTTCTAAATACAGAGACTTTCTGGGTTTCTACTTGGAACATATTTTTTCTGTGGGCCAGGTCAAAAGGGATTGATAGAGGCTGACACAATGGATTCAGTATTTTCCTTCCTGATTTATGATCATAGCTTTGTTTATATTGGAGGAAGAGATGCCTCCAAGTTGTTTGAGGGGGCACCAACATGCCAATAGCAGGAGAATTTCAAGTTTGTACTATATACCTTCAGAGAACTAGTAAGATAGATACCCATTCTTCTACACAAATTTCTTCTTCAAAAATAAATGTGCTCCATTCAAATAGATATTTTGCAATAATTATAAGCCTTTTGTATTTTCAGATGATAAGAGTGAACTTGTTCATTTCTATGAGTATGGTCCAAAAGATATTGCCACTATCTTCTTCTACATGCTAATTGCCATTATTCTTCATGCTGTGATCCAAGAATACATACTAGATGTAAGTTTATATTATTGGGATAGAATTTTCTGTTACACTTTTTTGTACTTTAGTGTAATAATTCTTATGTTTATTAATAACAGCATTTGTGCAAATCATGATACACTAAATAGGGTTTTAGTTTTGTATTTACACATCATATGTTGGTTGCCTGTTGTACACTTCTAGTTGTTCATTTTCTGTCTCTTCAGCAAATAACTTCTCAAATGTTGTGACTTGTATAACATCATCAACCACTAAATCTGATTTTACGCTGTTGGAGAATTCATGTTAGGTCTTCGTTACCCTGAAATATCAGGTATAAAGTACTTGGGTCCTGGTCAGATAACCACTAAATGAGATCAGCAGCATCAGATATTAGGAATTAAGCTATGGCCCTGATCCTGGAAAACATGCATGTACATGACTTTGTACATCTTATGTTGGCTTCTTTGTGACTTGCTGCAAGAGTAAAGTTAATTGCACGTGCACATTTTTGCAGGACCAGGGCCTAAAACATGAAGAGGTTGTTATTGCATTAGGAATGGAAGATCATGGAGGTAAGGGAAGCCTAACTAAAGGCTAAAGGGCTTGCTTTTCCTTCTGTCGGCAGCAATAAATACAAAATGTTGATCCGTTTCCTCTGTAATCTTTAAAATGGTTTCTTGATTTCAGAAAATTAACAGACGTCTCCATCTGTCAAAAACAAAGCACAGCAAATTCAATGAATCGGGACAGCTAGCATTTTTCTATTTGTTTTCATTTACCTGGGGAGCAAGTATTTTGACTGCAGTAAGTAAGTCAAATTGTTTGAATATTCTGTATTTATTTAAAAAGCCTCTAAGATGTTATAGAAATTCTAAAATAGCTATATTCCTTTTTAGGAGGAATTCATGACAAACCCTACTTTGCTGTGGAAAGAATATCCCCATTCTCGCATGCTGTAAGTGTTTTATTAAAATGAAAAATGAATCCCCATGACATTTGCTCTTTCTAGCTGCTCAAAAACAGACCACCACAACGTTCTGATGGTACAGAGACTCTCTCTCTCTCTCTCTCTCTCTCTCTCTCTCTCTCTCTCTCTC